AGGTTTTTGGTCAAAAACGAAGAAAGTATGTCCGTCGCGCGTCTTCGAAAAAAGTGCACCCAGACTGCATAACTCCTACAGTTAAACACGGCGGAGGATCTGTGATAATGTGGGGATGTTTCAGTTATACGGGCGTGGGAGATCTCTACAGAATCAAGGGAATACTTGAGCAAAAAGGCTACCACTCGATTCTGAGTAGGCATTGTATCCCGTCTGGTACACGTTTAATTGTCGTGAGTTTGTCATGCAGCAAGATAATGACCCAAAACACACTTCTAAATTATGTTCCAACTATCTACATCGAAAAGAGGAAAGCGGAGTGCTCAAAATGATGGTGTGGCTCCCTCAATCTCCGGATCTTAATCCGGTCTGTCCCACCTCTCAGGAGCACCTTTGGGAGATCCTCCAGAAAGCATGGAGTGAAATACCAAATTCTGTTTTGGAAAAACTCGTAGAAAGGATGCCACGATTGGTGCAAAAGATGCTATATCCACCAACGGAGGTTGGTTCGATGAAAAGAAAATGTGATTTCTAAGCTATAAGGATTGATTCTGATTTGTGAGATTTTCAGTTTTTGTTACTTCTAATTGTCAACTAAATAAAATTTATCAATATTTTTTCATAATAATTAGTTTTATTAAGAATTTTCCCGAATTATACCCCTGTCCGGAAACTTTTCGACGGCAGTGTACATATTTACAAAAATTAAAAAAAAATTTTTTTCTTAAATTATTCTTTTTGATTTTTTCAAATATGTAAATAATTCCAACGGTATTTTTTATTTATATCAATTAATTTAACAATGTTCCAAGTACATCTGGAAATTTTTTCAAGCTGATCGCACTCATCAATTTAAAATGGTGGACGATCAAAGTGTGTGTAGGGTCAGATTGACCCAGAGTGTTCTCTGTGAATGAAAAAATAGATGTGTTCTCCGTTAATATTACTGTGATCAACGGGACTCGTTCAATAAAAAATAAACTATAAATTTATTTATTTAAATTTATTTTGTCCCCGTCAAAATAATCCTCTCCCACTACAATACTTATGTCAACGTTTTTTCCAATCTTCAAAGCACCTTTTTTTATAGTCAATTTTATGTATAGCCCTTAGAACGCGAAGCGTATTCTTTTTTATCGCATCTATTGACTGAAAAATGTCCATATGCAATCACAAGAAATCATTTGTAATCAGATGAAATCATTGTGTAATCAAATAAAATAATTTGTAATCAGATGAAATAATTTGTAATCAGATGATATCATTTGTAATCAGATGAAATCATATGAAATCAAATGAAATCATGTAATCGGTGGGACAACATTTCAGCTAGTGGTTACCCCCTCGTCACCTCCTCTTCTTGTTCTGCTTTTTCTTCCACCTCCTCTTCTTTATCATCATCCAAAACAGTATAAATTATATTTGTTCTATTATACAAATATTGCAAGTGTTAGCTTTTACGTGTTATTATTAGTCTCTTACCAAAAGATAAATTGATTACGGGGATGATGTCTGCGGGTGGTGGTGCCATGATTCTAGCTCTTCTTATAAAATTTAATATTTATAATATTCGTTATTTTTAATGATTAATTAATTTTATTATTTTTAACTTACGTGCTGGTACTGCCTACTGCCTATTCCTCAGCAATGTTTTCTTCCGCTCGGCGTCTCTGTTCTCGTCGGACCGCGACCGGTTGGACAACGGCAATGCGGTTCTCCTCCATTAAATTAATTTAAATTTTAATGATAAACTCTACTATATAAAAATTTTAAGTTATTTAAAAAAAATTTAATTGCAATTTTTATTTCTAACACTTACCTATTCTTCCGTTACGACGCAGGAATCTAGCAATATGCCCTTTTCCTGCGTCTTCTTCTTCGTGACCCAAAGCTTCACGCATGTCTAATATGTTCGAAATGATGTTCACCAATCTTTTGTTTCCCCTGCAGTAACCCAGTTCATGCATAACGCATAACAGGGTACTGGAGCACTCACCCGCGAAACGTGCGAAAAGTTGATAATTCGCCTCTTCGTCGTTTGTCACTGCTTCTACAAACTCACGTTGCTCATTTAAGCAATTGCTTAAATTGCAACTAACTTTTAAAAACTCCACCAAAATTAAACGGAGAGCCATTTTTGTAGCATTTCACTTGTCTAACTAACTAAGAGCGTGCAAGACGACTCCAGTACGACCGGACAAGTACGGACTAACTCTCAGTTATAGTATTATAGGGCTATTTATAGTTGAAAATATTTTCAAAAACTTCTAGAATAATAGCGTGACAAAAATTGTCTAACTAAGCCATTGGTTACCAAATTCGAAGCTTTCCCCACTTTCTTCCCACCCTCTCTTACCGGTGGAAGGGAAAGGTTTTCGGAGAAAAGTTATCTTATGCCATAAACCCTTTACCGTCTTGTTCACAAAACCATATTCTTTTATCTAAGGGCTTACAAAGAATTCTTTATTAAATGATTTAAAAAGATAAAAAGAGCTCGGATAGATTTTTGTTGTTTCTTTATTTTTTAGAAATATTTTTATTTAAAATTTAAAAATTTTTTAATTATTACGCTTTTCGTATAAAATTTTTAGCCGATCACTTTATTAACAAATTCTCTTAGCTTCCTATAAACTCCCTATATATTGGGTTGGCAAATAAGTTCGTTCGGTTTTTTGACTGGTTTTGAATGGAAAAAACCGAACGAACTTATTTGCCAACCCAATATCAGAATTCATAGTTTAAACTAAAAAAAAAACTAGAAAAATCTAGAAAAATCTAAAGTTTTCTAATTTTTTATCTGCGCGCGCAGACTAATTTTTCTAAAACGTTGCAAGTGAAGTTAACGTTTTGACTAACGTTACGAAGTCAAAATCATTCGAGTCCTAACGTTCGAAGCGACAAGTTCGCCAGTAAAAAAGTATAACTCTCTCATCTGACTTTTCGATTAATGTGTGTCAGCCGATATTACGAAGAAATAAGAACAATGGCTAGTCACAGAGAAGACGCTAATAATTCTGAGAAACGGATGTTCACTCGCGATATTCTTGATAAAGGGATTTCCGATAAGGGACGCGACTTCAAGGGAAGAAACGAGCAATTACATATGATGCTATCGACAACATATGGACTCAACAGCTCCCATACGAAGAGAATTCATGTGGGTTTGCGAGCAACATCCGAGGGAGTTTTCGTGCCGCTGGTCAAATTAACCGGCAACTGTGCGGACGGTGTTTATTTCGACGAGAAATCGTGGCAGCAGTTTCAAGAGAACATGAGACTCGTGAGCGAATATATCATGGATATATTATTCATCTGCATTACAGTATTGATTGTCTTCGAAAAGAACAAGATATAATGGATGATTAAGTGTAAAAGGTAAAACTTGCAGTAGCGGTAGAAATTAATAAAAGAGGTAATTTTTAATATTTTGAAATATAAATATATTAAAGTTAGATGCATAGATAATTAAATTTATGAACTTTACAATAGTTTTATAAAATGTATATGGTAATACTTATAATTGATTATAATTTTATGTACAGTTGTAAGTATTAAAAAGAAGAATTAAAAAAATTTTAAATTTTTGCAAAGTCAATATGCTATTCTTTTTCGATATTATTATAAATTACATATTAGCACGTTGAAGTTAAAGGATATATAAAAACTAATTAGTATATTAGATTATATTAATTATAGTATAATTATTCTCTTTCTTATATTTCACAGTACATATTTTATGGAAGAGAAAAAAGACAAAAAAAATTAATAAGAATGTTTTAAAAAATAACAGAGCAAATTGAGATTTCATATTTCACGAAACAAATACCCCAGGCATTTCAAACTCCCGCGCAGGGTAAATACATTCTTAGAGAACGTACTATTGTCACGGAGATTCTCAAGTATCATAAGTTGTGTGTACGGTGGGTGCCTAGGATGCTAGGTGCCTAGGGTGCCTAGGATTTCAGATCTTAAACCATCTCTCATATAGCCCTGACCTATGCTTCCTCTGATTATCATGTGTTTGGATTGAAAAAAGTCGAAAAAGGCAGAGAGAAAGAAAGAGAGGACAGAGATAAAAAGAAAGAGGTAAGCCTTAATATAATAATTAAACTTATATTAGTGCGTAATTCGTCGACGATGAAGATGGTGATAGCGTGTGTGTTCGTAATTTCTTCGTTCTTCATGATTGGATATGACAAAGTTAAAGATTACAACTAAAAGAAAAAGAAGAAAAGTCAAGAGAAACAGAGAAAAAGAAAAAGAAAGAAACAGAGAGAACGAGAGAGAGAGAGAGAGAGGCGGGGCCGGAGAGTTAAGAATTCACTTTCGTAATCAAAGAGATAAGAAGCATGTTAAAAATTTTGTATATAAAAATTGTACGTATTTTTTTCGAGGTTTTTAATTAATTATTAAAAGTGTATTTATATATCGTTGCAAAAAACATAAAATTAACTTAAATAAAGATTTTTCTGTACAAATACATCTGGCAACAGTGCAAATTGGTGCAAATATTAACCTAACTGACATTTATATTTGTAAGTATAACCTCTTTTCTGCTCACTACTCTGCACGTGTCGATACAAAGGACGTATTTTAGACATCAAGATAGCAATTCGATAGACAATTATATTCCATATACGAGCTAAATATAACTTATATTAAGACTTAGTGATTTAGACGTGCAATTTTATTGGAAAACTAATCCAACAAATAAGACAGTGGTTTAGACATGCAATTTTATTGGAAAACTAATCCAAAAACTGTCTTTTTGCAGACTGGCGAATTGATAAAGAAGTCGGCGCAAATTCCGATTCAGTGTATGGATCAAGCATCGGGAATAATTTTTATTAAATCTAGACATATCTCGCGTTTTCAAATCAAGGTAATTAATATTTTGTATTTAAGCTATTGTATATTAATGTATGTACATACATGGCTTAGGGAATATGTTATTGAGTATAGAGGTTGTAAATAATGAGGTACATATTCAGTATGCAAATTTCTTTTTATTTTTTACAGCATCATGGATAAAAAGAAAAGAACCGGTAATATAACAGAAGAACAAAGAAGTTTGCTCATCGAATTTATGAAAGTTCATCCAGAATTAGTATCGGGAAAGTTTTCTAAAACTTTTACGTACGATCATGCAGCCAAGTTATGGCAAGAAGTGACCAACATTTTGAATGCTTGCAACGGTGCCGAGAAAAATTGGAAATCATGGCGCAAGGTAATTACATTAATTATATACTAATTTTTATAATTATATATTTTTTTATAATTATATTTACAGGATATTTACTAATCTACTAAATATACCAAACATTTAATTCCAAGGCAGCGATCATGTTACTTTTCCCATATGGCGGAAACGTGAAAAGTGAAAAGTTTCACGTGGCTATCTTCTTCTATTGGTGTTGAATAGAAAGAGATAATTTTTCACTTTTTACGTATCCGCCCTATGGCAAAAGATACATGATTGATCTCCAGAAATTAATAACAAAAAATTTATTTCTAGTGTTGGCAAGATTATCGCTCTCGTAGTAAAACGAAGCAAGCAGGGATAAACGTGGAACGACGTAAAACGGGAGGTGGAGCACAGTGCAGTGCAGTTCTTACACCAGATGAACGAGAAGTATTGGATTTAATTCCAACATCATTAACTAAGGGTCATGCAGATATTTCGGAATCATGTATGGACATTACTTTGGGCGAAGAGGTTTGTAATAAAAATTCTTTTATAATGCTATTTTCTTAGTTTAATAAATAATTAGAATTATTAATTGCTACTTATATCTGTAGGATGACTTGGTAGAA